CGCGGGAGGCCACGCGGCTGCGCGGCAGTCGGGCCACTGCGGTTGAGCGCTCGACGTCGACGGCGAGTGGTCTTGCGGAACACCAGCAACAGATGTACACGGGGCGAGCTGCAGGCATGGGCACCCGTTTCATTGAGGCGAGACCCACGCAAGGGCGCGCGCACATGAGGTGCGCGCCCGCAGATCATAGGGGCATCTGCACTACGCTGGCGGGCCGCCACGCGGCGTTCCGCTCTCATCACAACGATCTTCGACCGCAACGTCAGTGCGGGAAGGACTTGGAGGAGCAGTTGCACTGCGTGAAAGCGATGGACCAGGAGACCTGGTTCGGTAAGAAGGCGCCGGGGGAGAAGCGCATGGCAGCGCACTCGGTGGCGACCAGGTCGGGCAAGTGCAACCTTGAGGAGATGAAGCAGCTGCTGGACAAGTTTGAGAGGTATCAGGCGCTGGCTCGGGCGAGGGGCCTCACGACTCAGCGCCGAACCCTGCGAAGTGGGCGAAGAGTATGTGGGCGAGCAAACCTGGGGCACTACATCGCCATGCGAAGGACAAGGCCCCCCCCCTGTTCACGAGCTGGCGACCAGCGCGCGCAAGCAGGTGGCGGATCCAGACACTGTCATGGAGCAGAAGGCTGCGCTCTGCGAGGCCACCTGGACGGACCCAGTGGACACGCTGGAGCAGTTGACGCAGTTATTGGGGGGGATGGCAGCCCAGGCGCAGGAGGAGGAATTGGAGCAGATCACGCTGGGCCAGGTGGACACCATCATCAGCAAACTGAGTGACTCGAAGGCGATGGGGCTCGATGTCATTGGGCCATATAGTATTCGACGTATCCCTGCACCAGGCCGTGGGCAGCTACTCCAGATGATTTCATCGTGCGCACAAGATGGGCGTGGCCGAGGCCGTGTATTGTGACGCGGTGTGCCCTTGCATCTAAACTTAAAGGAAGGGATAGAGCTATTGGGAATGATTGCGTTCATGCCGAAGTTGTGGAGCAACTGCCGTGCCGTTCTCAGTGAATCTCGGTCGCAGGGTATGACAGATCATTGGGGCGCTGCGATTCGGGGATCTTCGGGATTGAGGGCAGGACTACTAAGGACATGCATAGATGAGACGAGTCTGGAGATCGGGGCCACTTCATTGACGTTGTTGCTGGACATTGAAAAAGTGTACGATTCCGCGTATCTCCTCATGTTGTTGCGCTTTGCCAGGTGGGTGGGTTGCCCAGCAGCCTTGGTTTCTCTGGAGGCCCAACTACTCTTGGCGCCCAGATACCTGCAGGAGCGCTCGGTGCTGAGCAGGGTCATTTTCCCTTCTCGCTTATAGGTGGCGGGATCCCCACGTCGGGTGGGCCTGGCTTAGCTGCTTCTGCATCCGATCCTGGGCTAAGTTCATAGGCGATCTCTTGCGTCGGGGCTCTGGACCTCTGTGGATGACACCACTGCGAGGTCCGAAGGTAGTCGCGCCCCAGTCGGGGAAGCCACGTTAGCTACTGCATTTGACCTGGAGGCAGGTCTAGAGAATCAGAGAATGGTGGTTTCGTCCAAGACTGTATTCAATGGCTCGAATCCACGCACCACGCAACGGGCTGCCAAACTACTCCGAGCACGCGGGCTACCTGTGCAAGCGGCCACGGACGCATTGGACTTGGGGATGGCTACTTTAGCGGGGGGGGAGCGCACAGTCAAGAAGGCGAAGAAACGTTTACAAGGAGCCCTACGACGAGCGGGCAGAATCAGAAGCAGGCGGGGCACATGGTCGGAGGTCGAGCACGCGGACGCTGTTGAATTTCTGCTCGTGCTTGCGATTCTGCCGCGCCAGGCCCAGCGCTGGCGGCGCCTACGCAGGTCGTGCGTGAGTGGGTCTCATCGTGGCAACGGCATCCTGGGGCACATGACAGAGCTATGCGTGCGTGGTGCTCGATTCGCAACATATTGAGAACAGCGGGCACCAGAAGATGGACACAGGTAAATGGGCCGATAGTGGCGCTGCAGGCTACGTTGATGGACATCGGCTGGGACCCAGTTTCTGCTGCGACGTGTTTGAGGCCCACAGAGAAAGATCAGGACTTAGCCGACCAATGGGACCTGCCTTCTCGACATGACGTTGGCGTTTTCCAGACAGCGTCCATTCAAGCTTTGTTTGGGAATGCGGAGGCCGATGCCCGCGGTTTCTTGCGGCGTTCCGCGGCTCAGCATGTCGCGGGCCAGGATCTGCCTGTAGGCAGTGATGCGATCCATATTGCGAGGGAACAGACATGGTTTGAGCGACAGGGGGCGAGAGACTTGGCTGTTACCGACGTCACGGTGATCAGCGGTGGCCGGTGGACCAAGCAGAGGGCGGTCGACAACGGTCACTTGGTCGAAGCATTATGTGGCCGCCGTGGGAAAAGCCTAGAGTCTCTCTTTCATCGCATCTGGAGTTCTGAGAGGAATTTCAATCATGAGGATTATGAGAAAACGCACTGTTTGCTTCCGTCAGCCACTTCGCCTCACGAAGC